ATAATTTATTTCACCAGAGCCGTTTTAAAGGACTCTGGATCATCGAATAACACTTCCAAAATGAATTCTTTAAAAGGGCTCTGGTGAAATAAATTATTATAATGGTACTATAAAAATAACCTATTTTTTCTTTAAATATTAGCTCTGGATTTACATTGAGCTCTCAGGATTTCATCCTCCTTGGGATTACCCAAACGGATTACTAAGTTCTTCATAGCTTAGTTATATATATATATATATATATATATATATATATATATATATATACCCCAACCCTACCTTGACTTGACCTCTTTCCGAAAGTAACTGGTATGTTGATACAAATTGTTAACCCTTACGCCCCTTATTGAAATAATTGCTCTAGCCGTTTCCATAGTAATTAATTTTATGAATGAATATGCTTATAAAGACTTGTAAATTTCAAGACTAGTTATTCCAAAAATTTCGCTTGGGGATGTAACAGAGCGATATAATTATTTGAATTAAATTGAATTAAAGTACTTTAATTCAATTTAATTCTAATAATTATATTGAAGTTTTCATCTCTTGTTTTTGAAACATGAGAACTCTTATGTAGCGAAGGAATCATATTTAAAAAAAATAATTATAATTTAGGCTCTACTTTTGTATCGAGCACTGTTACTAAAGAACTTCGGATTATTTACCCAACGGGTTCTTTCCTATTTTCTATACACACACACACACACACACACACACACACACACACACACACACACACACACACACACACACACAGATACAGACACACACATATATAGGTAGTAATCCGTTGGTATACAATTCAAATGAATCTTATCAATACAATATAAAATATAAAATATTAAATATTAAAACTGATTCCCACATAAAGCTCAATGTTTTATAATAAACAGAGAAATATATTTCATACAATTGGAATTAATATACCATTATGTAATGGTATCTTATTTCCGATTCTATGAAATATATATATATATATATATATGTGTGTGTGTGTGTGTGTGTGTGATTTTCGCCTCACAAAACATGTCGACCACATAATTACTGGAAGATAACACGTTCAATACGATCACATTTTTGTAAATAAAATGTTCAATGGGCAAATTTAAAATTTAATTGACGTCAATAATTAAGTTTTTTTATGCATCGTAGTTTAAAATCGATGAGATATCTATTAATTAATTCGATAGATTTACCTTAACTCTGACGAACGGATTTGTGTATGCGCTAATCCAAGTCGGGAGATAAGTCAATAAAAATTTTATTTCCTATATATATATATATATATATATATATATATATATATATATTCGATTTAGTGTATTTGAGTAGAACTCATTTTATACACCTTAATATACATGTGTATCAAGAGATCGGCTCATAAGAATCAAAAACGAATTCATAATGTTCTATTGACCTCGAAGATCATAGGAGGGGGGCAATGTTGGATCGTCGTGGAATTTCACAGAATAATAAGGGTTACGAGGTAGTATCAATCTCTGTTTGAAACAACATGCGATACGACAGATTCATAATACCAGCAGTAGAAATAAATGCCTGACCTGATCTCGTGCAAGAAGGAGATTCTGTCACACGTTTGTTATTACTAAATAAAGAACAGTGGCTCGAAGATTTTACTCTCTATGTTACAGTTAGACCAAATTTTCACATCCTTTTATTGAAAAATTTGCATGAATATTTGTATCACACACACACACACACACATATATATATATATATATATATATATATATATATATATATATATATATATATATAT